AGAGAGAGAGACAGAGAGAGAGAGAAGTGGGAGGCACAGATAGCAAAAAAGAATTCAAGAAAATATGGGAATATTTTTGCAATGGGAAGGAGACCAAGAAGTGCAAGGAGCAGGGAGAGAGGGAAGAGGTAGGTACAAAAAAGAATGAAGACATGTTAGGCCCTGTACCAACTCCCCATGATAAATGTAATCATCATGTACTTCAAAACTGTACCAATTAAAATAAAATAAATAAAAATGAGGTTGCAAATGGCTATCCCCTAGACTGAATAAATCCTTTCTGCAGAGGGTGTTTGTGTGTGTGAGCGTGTCCTGCATGGTTTCACTCTTCCTTCCCTAGCCTCTCCTCTGCTTCCTTTCATCCTTTCCTTGTATCTTTCAAATTTAAGATTCCTTCATAAAAATCACAGTAGCTCCCCTCTTGCTTCTCTTTCAGATTAGAAGATTTCCATTTTCTAGGTGGCAATGACTGGGGACCCATGACAAGCACAGACTCTCCCTGTGGCCTGAGTCTCTGGGCCCTGCCCGAGTCAGGAGCATCAGGAGGATCCTCTGAGCAGTGGAAGCTGAGGGTCTTGCTTTAAAAAGTGCTGACAGTGTAGACAACCCAGCCTACTTCCATGGGCAGTTTGACCTTGTGCTCAAGATCATGGATTCTGGGGCAGACTCTTTGGTTGGAATATATCAGTTCTACTTTCAAGCTCTACCTCTTCATGCCTGGTAAGTCAGGTTCAGGGCCCCCGCTTCATCTATAAATTAAAGATAATAACCATAGTACTGCCTCATTGGGTTTTTATGAGGACTAGACTTAGCATTTAGAACAAAGAACATCGTGGCACACATTAAGCACTATATAAAGTATTAGGTTCTTTTAAAAACTTCAATATTGTAGCTTTAATCTGTGTTAAAAATGATTCTGACACTTTTTAAAATGGTAAGGAAGACTTTACTCAGAGCTATAATGTTAAGTGTCAAGTGGGGGAGAGAATGGATTCAAATCCAAATACAAGAGTAAGAATTTATAGCTGAGGAGTGGGTGGAGGATGGCAGTGGATGGACAATTACTGAGAGGAGAATTTAAGGGTAGGAAGTGTCTTGTTAAGTGTTTTAGTTACTCTTCTCTCATTGCTGGGACAAATACCTGACACTCAAGCTTAGGGAAAGAAAGGTTTATTTAGCTGACAGTTAGTGGAGGTTTCAAGACACTGCAGGAGAGGCTAGGGAGCTGCCGTGTCCAG